CGGGGGTCTGTGGGGCCAGCTTCCTGGCTGGAGAGGTCTTGGGGGGCTAGTTTTCGGGGCAGAGGGCGTAGCTTATGAGACCTTCCTGTCTGATAGGTTTTTCCTGACGCATGAGCCAAAAGGGTTACCACAGCCACTATTGTTCACAGGAGAGGGAAACTGGGGCAGAGCTCAGGACCTCTCACCTCTTCCAGGGCAAGTTTGGGGTCTCGGGGTCCTGCAAGTTCCCAGAGCCAGATTTTGCTGAACCCAGAATTTCTGGGTCCTGGGTGCTGGGGCTTAGATTTCTGTGGTCTGTTTGCGTATTTGTTAAGGCCGTACTGTTTTATAACCAATTCACTTATTAGGGAATTAATTCTGTACCTCACTTATGCGCTTGTCAATTTGTTCTAGAATTCATGAAGTCATATGCTTGTGTTGCAGGTTGCGCCATAATCTGTTGGTGCACGGGGGCCCTCCAGGACACCCTCATAACTGTCTCCTTTGTTCATGGCTGTGAGTCAGGGCAATGGTGCCTTTGGGGGCTTAGGACCTCCACCTCTGAGGGGGGAACTGTCCTGGCTTTGGGGGTGGGGTCTCAGCGGAGCTTCTGGCCTTTGTGCTCCTATATCGCAGAGCCTGCGCCAGTCCCGAGCTCCACAGAATGAATGGCTGTCCACCCTTCCAGCCCCCAAACCTTGGCACAAGCTGTTCGCTGGGTGCTACCCATTCCTGCCCAGCATGTGCCTTTGGGGTGTGGCCTGGGCCTTGGGATTCAGCACCAACCCTGGGGCTTGTTGAAGACAAAGGTCTCTGGGATCCAGAAGCAATGAGGGCTTAGGGAGTCTCACCTAGCTGGCAGCCTCCTCCAGGCAGGCCTCCTGGAGACATATAGCCCAGGCAGCGGCTGCTTCTGGCTCAACTCTGTGTTCCCATGCTGGTGAGTTTTGGGAGACAGAGGTCTGGGCTCTCCTCTCAGCTTCCCAGGTCTGGTCCAGGAGGCCTCACAGAAGGGGAATTGCTTGCTGGCTCCTGGCAGTAGGGTGGGTTTTATAGAGCAAGTGGAGGCACGCTTTCCTACAAGAAGGGACTTGGAACTTTCCCTCTGTTTTTGCAGGGTTGAAAAACTTTGGTACTCCTCCTCCCGACCCCTCATTGGCTTGGTGCCCACACGGCTCACATTCCTGCAAGTAGCCTCTTCCAGCTCCTTCCCACACCTTGCGGGTGGCGGAGGTGCCGCCCGTGTGTCTGGAGCCCAGCACCTGGGAGAGATGAGCAGGCAGCCGTCTTTCATCTATTTGTGTCCAGGACTCACGTGTTTTACAAGGGCTGATGGAAATGCTGAGAGCTAAAGGCATGTTGATGGCTCCAGAGCCTGCAAATAAAATGCCACAATAAAATTCAAAGCTTTATTAAATGACTACAGAATTTAACACTATATTGAAAAGCCACACACAGCTCAATCCTCCTCTTGCCTTAATTATATAACTATGGTAAAGTTAAAATCAAACAAATTTATTATGATGAAACTCAGAATTGTTAAAGCCCTTTTACCTTTTTTTTTTTTTTTAAAGATTATTTATTTATTTATTTGACAGAGATCACAAGTAGGCAGAGGCAGGCAGAGAGAGAGGAGGAAGCAGGCTCCCCGCCGCGCAGAAAGCCCGATGCGGGGCTCGATCCCAAGACTCCGGGATCATGACCTGAGCGGAAGGCAGAAGCTTTAAGCCACTGAGCCACCCAGGCGCCCCAAGCCCTTTTACTTTTTAACAGCACAAATAGGCTGGGGCTGACCTGCCCCGGAGTAGCTGCTCTGTGTCTTCCGGTGACTGTACCGGGACCCCTGAGCACAGCCCAGGGATGGGGAAGCAAGCTGAGGCAGAGGGGAGGGGACAGCGTGCCTGCCTGTGGCCATGAGTGGTGGCGTTCCCAGGCCCCGACTCACTAGGCAAGAGTAAAGTGCACTCGCCCCACTTTGTGGGTGTAAATCTCTCTGGGACCCAGGTCTGGCCACAAATGCCATGACTCCCGAGTGCAGCCCAGGCAGCTGAAGCCAGGGTTTATGGACACCCATTCTGTGCTCATTCATGTGAGCTGCCTGCTTTGGGCTGTCCCTGGCTTCCCTGTGATATGGGAGACAAAGGCCAAAGAAAAATGAAATGTCCTTACTACTTATAACCCATGGACAAATCCTTGACCTTCCTCTGGGAGCTCAGTGGCCCTAATGTTGACACTTCGCTAAGGGCGAAAGGCGATCTTAACCACCCCACCGGGGTCCTGTGAATCTACTTTTTTTTCTTGAGAGAGAGAGACAAAAAGGGGGTGGGCAAGTAGGGCGGGTGGGGGTGGCGGGGAGGGACAGAGGGAGAGAGAGAGGGGGAGAGGAGGGTCCCAAGCAGGCTGTATACTCAGCACAGAGCATTACGTGGGACTCGATCTCACGATCCTGAGATCATGACCTGAATGGAAGTCAAGAGTCGGATGCTTAACCGACCGAGCCCCCCAGGCGCCCCTAAGTCTACTTTAACATATAAAAACTCCTTTGGAAACTTCCTTTATCTCTACTCCCCAAAAGGTATGTTGGCAGTCATCCGCCAAGCGTATGACCCACCAGTATACATTGGAAAGGTCCCACGACTGAGGGTTTACTAGACAGTAATAATACTGTTTTCCTGACAGTAGCTAACCCCTTCAGTGTCCTGGAAATCTTGCTTCTGAAACACCTCAGAGGCTCGTGCTGTCCCTAACCCCTCCAACTTAAAAGTGTATGATCGGCCTGTCCTCACAAGCCCCGTGCAGCTCTTTGTGCCCACGGGTCTTGTCCCTGTGCGCTAATAAACACACCTTCTTCCACTGAAGAATTCTTTCTTGGCCGTCAGCTCCGAACCCTAACATTTCCACATCACCTGTGCGTTTTGTTTTGCCTGCATGGGACACAAATGCTCTCTCACAGAACGTGTCCCCTGCTGTCCCCTGTGAGACACCTGTGTTCAGTGTCTTAGCCTGGCTGCTCGGGGGTCCAGAGAAGCCTGGGCCGCGTCCTCTGTGCTGCCAGTCCCCTCTGTGGGGTCCCTTTCGTGTTCGGGGAGTACAGTCAGCCTCCGAGCCTGGCCACTCATGAGCCGGGTGACCAAGCCTGTCCTTTGGCTTAGACTATCCTGTGAGGGGCCAGGAATCTGCCTCTGGCTATCCTTTGTGCCAGGCCCACTGGGTGCACTCACATGGGCCTTTCCAGACCAGCCTCACGGCCCCCTCTTGCCCCAGTCTGGGCCTGAGCGGGGAGCCACTGAAGGCCACCATGGGACGCAGCTCCGTGGGCTCCTGCCAGCGAGGGGAGGCTACGGGGGCTAAGCCTCCTTGGGCTCCTGGCCCTGCTGGGCTCCTGAGGTCAGCAGGATCCTGCTTCTGGCTTCGTCTGGAGGGTGTGGGGGCACGTGTGTGTCTCCTGGGGGTCCGGAAGCCTTGATCTGTGGGTCTCCCTGCTCTTGCCCTGTCACTCGTGTGCCTCGAGTGCTTGTTGGTGTGGGTTCACGTGTGTGCGGCCCATGTGTTTGTGCCTGTGAGTGAGTGTATGCATTTCCAAACCCATGTTTGTGTGTTCAGTCATGTGTCTGCTTCGGTGTCTTCATGTGTGTTTGCACGTGAGCCTGTGTGTCCCTGCATGTCCTGAGGGAGTGTCTCCGTGGTTGTGCCCCGTGTCTCCATACTGTCCCTGAATCTGCTGCAGTGAAGATGCAGAGGAAAGTCCTGGGGGACAGCTTGGGATGCTGAGTCCTAGGGCACCTGCCTGCTCCATGGTCTCCTGATTTGCCAGGTATCCTAGCAACGCTGCTGCCAGTCGCCTAGCAACCAGGTCCCCATCCTTGGAGATGGCTGCTCCAAGCAGGGTCTGGGCTATGTGAGTAGAGCCTGTTCAGGAAGAAGGACCCCATGCTTGGAGGCTGTTGACTCAGCTAAGGGGTCACCCACATAGCACGTGACCCCAGTGTCAGGAAGGAGGCAGCCTCGTGGGAGCTGTTCAGCTGCACGGGTGCTAGGGGCCCAGGCTGTGAGGAAATGAGGTTCAGGTGTCACCTTGGGACCCCAGCTGGGGCAGAGACACCCTTGGTGTGTCTCAAAGTGGCAGATGGACCTGGGTTTCACAACACGGAGGCTTAACGCTCCCATCTGCAGAAAGCTGATGCTGATGGCAGGGACCTGGTGTGCGGGGACTGATGAGCCTTCACCGTGGACCTGTGGAGTGCGTGGTGGGCACATAGGGTGCACCGTGGAGTCGAGGCACCCTGCTGGTCCACAAGGCTCTGACCCACTTAGTGTTGGCCAAGCAGGCGTCCTGCTGCGCACATACCCTCCTCTTGGCCTGCCCTTGCTCCGCCGGGGACACCCGCTGAGGGGCCCTTTCTGGGCCCAGAATGCCAACCGGGGCGGGTCTGGGTCCACCTGAGGCAGTGTCTCTGTGTGTTAGATGAGGCCCCGCCTCCGTGTCCCAGTCTGTGCGTCTTGTGGGCGTCCCCCTGAGTCTCTGTCCCCTGTCCCTGTCTGTGTCCTTGTGTGTATGTCTATCCCTCGACTCAGTTCCCGTGTGGATCTGCGTCCCTGTCTGTGTCTGTGTGTGGGAGCTGGTCTCTGTCGTTCATCTCGCAGTGTGCGCTCAAAGGACATCCAGTGCGGGGGCCCGGCCACCCCCCTTCCCTGAGGGCCCTCACCCCACCCTCAGGGCCCCTCCTCCTCGGGAGCGACAGGCTCCGCCCCATCCCTCAGCTCCGCACCAGACTGCGGCGTCTGGTCTGGCATCTGCTGGGAAGGAGTCGCGCGCTCCCGCCGCAGCCCCGTGCAGCCCCGCGCCGACCTGCGGCTGGTCCGACAGTGGCATCCCAGCCCCGCGCGCGGCGGGGCTGAGGGTTAGAGCCGCCACAGCCTCGGCTCCCACGGAGGTTGCTAAGGTAAGGCCTAAGCTGCGGGGGGTGGGGGTCGGGAGTCTGGGGTCGGGCGTGGACAGACTGCAGCCCCTCGGCAGGACTGGGGAGGGGCAGGAGGGAGTCGTGTCCTGTGTCCCACGGGTTTCTGGGTGTGTCTCTGCCCCTTTTGTGTCTGTGTGTGCCTGAGGTCAGGTCTGGACTTTTCTGTGGGTGGTGTGCACACACGGGTAGCTGTGTGCCCCTGAGCCACTGTGGGTGGACACGTGTGTCGGTGTGTGACTGTGTGACTACACGCGCCAGTCCCATGCAGGAGACTGTTGGCCACGCGAGACCGCGTCCTCGTCTGCACACACGCCTCTAGGCACATCCCTGTCTGTGCACACAGGTCTGCTTGTCTCCATGGTTTCTGCGTGTGCCTCTGTGTCCATGGCTGTGGGGGGGGGTGGAGGCTGCACACCCTGTGCTTGGAGGCCTCCAGGCTGGGTGGGGGTCAGGTGCTGTGGTCATGTGTCCCTGTTCTCTCCCAGGCACCAGGTGGCTTTGCACACAGGGAGGCAGAATGGAGTCCCTCTTCCCTGCCCCCTTCTGGGAGGTCCTCTACAGTGGCCACCTGCAGGGCAACCTGTCCCTCCTGAGCCCCAACCACAGCCTGCTGCCCCCCCACCTTCTGCTCAACGCCAGCCACGCCGCATTCCTGCCCCTTGGGCTCAAGGTCACCATTGTGGGGCTTTACCTGGCTGTCTGCATTGGGGGACTCCTGGGGAACTGCCTCGTCATGTATGTCATCCTCAGGTAGGCTGGGGACCCACCCACGCCGCTACAGAGGGGAAGCAGGCAGGGGACTGTGTCGGGTGGGCCTGCCAGGTAGAGACTCTGCACCTTTCCCGTTCAATTTCTGGTCATCCTGTCGGGCAGCGTCAGGGGCAGGGTCGGTTCTGAGGCCCTGGGTGCTCATGTCTTCATGGCTGGGACACCGGACTAGGGGGAGAAGGAAAGGAAGGGATCAGCCTTGCTCACCCCAGTCCTGGTAGGCGGGAGGAGGGGGGGTACAGCCGTGTCCCCGATGGAATGTCCCCCTGACTCCTGACAGATCACACCCCCTGATGCAGGGGCCCAGGTCCTTGCCCAGCCACTGTGGGAAGATCGCATGGATCTCACGGTGACCCTGAGAGGCAGCTCTGGCTCAGCAGGGGCGGCCGGTACTGGGGCTGTGCCCCAAGCCCCTCCCCTTTGGCTCCGGGCGACTGCCGGGGTCTGGGTCGACTCCAGCATGTGCTGGTGCTTAGACTGGGATAGCCTGGGGGGTCAGAAGGGCTGGCCAGGCTGCAGGAGAGGGGGACATCATAGGAACAGCATGGGGACATTGTGAGGATGGGTGTGCATGTGTGCGTGTGTGTGCATGTATACACGTAGGTACAAGCATGCACACACAGGTGAGCACACAAATCTGTGAAGTGCACACATGTAGGTGGGTACACAACAGTGCACACATGCATGGGTGAGAGTGTCCACACACGAGTTAGCATGCGGTGCAGTGTGCCTGTGCACACACATGTGTACCTTACAGCTGGGCACGCGTGTACAAGCACACACATGCAAGTGTGCCCCATGCACACACTAGTGTGAGCACACACGTGTGGGTGCCCACGTGTGTAAAAACAGTGTGTGAGTGTGCACACGGACACGTGCAAGGTGTGTGTGTTGGTGTGTAAGGTGCACATGCTTATGCAGGGGTTAGGGAAGAGCAGCTGTCTGTCTGCGGTGCTGAACCCCAGGGGACCGGACTCACATGGCCCTCTGTGGCTGGGGGGTGTGCTGCAGGTGACAAGTGTCCCAGCCTGCGGTGGTCTGTTTCACCCTTCCTGTCATCACCGCTTCTCTGTCTCTCTCCTCCGCCGTGGGGCATCCACACTCAGAGCCACATCCTCGTCCTCGTCAGAGCAGACAGGGAAGGTCCCCAGAGACACTGATGGGCAGGGATAAGCCTGCGTGTCAGAACAGTGTATTCTGACCCCGTGGACTGGGATCGGCTGCCCGAATGGTCAGAGAAACCACTTGCAAGGCCTGCTCTTCTTAAGAGACTTTATTTTATTTTTTTAAAAAAGATTTTATTTATGGGGTGCCTGGGTGGCTCAGTGGGTTAAAGCCTCTGCCTTCAGCTCAGGTCCTGATCCCAGGGTCCTGGGATCGAGCCCCATGTCAGGCTCTCTGCTCAGTGGGGAGCCTGCTTCCCCCTCCTCTCTCTCTCTGCCTGCCTCTCTGCCTACTTGGGATCTCTGTCTGTCAAATAAATAAATAAAATCTTAAAAAAAAAAAAGAAGAATCTCTTAAAGATTTTATTTATTTATTTATTTGACAGACAGAGATCCCAAGTAGGCAGAGAGGCAGGCGGAGAGGCAGGGGGGAGCAGGCTCCCCGCTGAGCAGAGAGCCCGATGCGGGGCTCGATCCCAGGACCCCGAGAGCATGACCTGAGCCAAAGGCAGAGGATTAACCCATTGAGCCGCCAGGTGCCCCTACCTGCTCTTTTTAAGACGACTTAGATCCTCTGAGCCTAAGTGTCCTCCTGTACAGAGTGTGGACCAGTATAGCCTTTTAAAATCTTAAATGAGAATGAAATCCATGTGGCGAGCTTGGCTCAGGTATCTGCTGTTGTGATCCTTGTGCTGTTATTTGGTCATAATTAAGGCCTGTTCGTGCTGATTCCAAATCCTTCTCTAAGACGCAGAACTGACCCAGATCCTCTTATGGTAGGTTCGGTGACATGGAGCCTTGTCACCTCTGGTGCTGCTGCTGCCAACACTGTCATCCCCACCATCACTCCTCCCACCTCCACGACCCCATCACCACGACCATCACTGCTGTCTCCATCTCTACCCACATCGTTACCACCCCCCCACTTACCACCCCCCCACTTATGACCCCCCAACCTTTCCACCCCCCCAACAATTACCACTCCCCCACACTTACCACCCCCCACACTTATGGCCCCCCAACCTTTCCACCCCCATACTTATGACCCCCCCC